ATGGTAAGACCATAAGCAGTCACAGAATGGAGGGAGAAGAAACAGACTCAACAGTTCATCATATGCCAGGGGGTATGAGTTCAGGAGTTTCCCTTGCCCCCTCCACAAAAATCCATGCCATACACCATTGCCAATAGACCACAGCTAGCACTCATGGGTGATAGTTGGCTTATAGCTTATATCTCCATGCAGGAAAATCCTCTCACTAAAAGCAGCCAAACTAAGTAAAGCTAGACCTCCTCTAGCTTTAAACCATTTAAGAAGACTGTAGTCTTCTTTAAATTTTGCTTGATTGTTTGGAACCACTTCTTGGTTGTTTGGGACCACTTCTATCAGCTAAGGTCACTTACTATCACATGGAGGAAAGCTACATCTGAATCTAGGGAACTGGTCTTGCCATCCAAGAGCAGAACCAGCTCCAGGATCTATTATCTGGACCTGGCTTTATACTCTGGTTGTGGGGCTTGTTCTCCTGAGCTAAGACCTTTAATCCTGGTAACAGATTGGTTTGTATCATTATTCTCCATTTGTTCCTCAAGATCCTTCACTATACTCTCTGCCCTTACAGGCCAACCTATGTGGGTCACTTCACTAAACTTCCTGGCTCTCTGGAAGCCTGTTAACTGACTCCTTTTGAGGATTGAATGGTGCTTACTTCTTAGATTCCCCATCACTGTGTTCTCTGTTTGAGGATAACTTGCTTTTTGACATCTTGCCCTTCTAATCCCATGGTTTATATACCAGACAAAGCCAACTCAGTCTCTGATTAGCTAAAACCAATGGTCTTGTTCCTAGCTTTTGTCCCCTCTCTACACATCCTATATGCATTGCAAGTTAATCCATCAGGCTAGGCTGAGGAGGTGTCCCAAATTCAAACCTAAACTTTCATCCTCTCCATTAACACTGATATACATGGAATTTAAGCTGAATACAGCACTATAGCTTATTCAGTTTTCATCAGCCAAGAAGTCTCTTTCTAATTTCTCAATATAATCTCAAGTATGGGAAAGAGACCATGCTCAGGAGAAAAATGGGCCCCAAAGTAAAGAAATCCAGTTTCTGAATAAGAGTAGTACTGGTAGCTTCTAAAGAATTGTCCATGTCATCAGTAAAGCTTCTACCAGAGACAGACTGTCCAGCTCACATGCTGGAGGAAATAAGTATCTTCCCAAACCAGGCCTTCACCTGGGCCATATTTCCACACAGCTCAGCCAGATATTTTTTATTTTCAAAAGACTTTCAACCCCATGATATCACACTTAGGACTGCAGCACTTCCACCACTTGATTGATCTTGCCTTGAGGTACCACAAGTGATTTGGGCTATGGCAACCCCCAAATTATGGTAATTCCTAAAGCTGAAGGTTTTTGTACCTAACTGGGTCCAGGGCCCTCCACATCTGTTTTAACTCCTGCATAGCCTTTTCTGGCATAACCAGTCTCTTATCATTTCCCAGCATGAAAGATAAGACAAGAATGTAAGAAAAGCACAGGAAGAGACTGTACTACATGAAAAGGCTCTCAACTAACACTAAGAACATTCAACCAGGCCTGGGTGCCCAGCTGTGATGTACCACCCAGAATCTCCTTGAGGAGAAGCATGAGTTGCTACACCCAGAGAGATGTCTTGGGGGCTGGGAATATGGCTTAGTGGTAGGGTGCTTGCCTAGCATGCATGAAACCCTGGGTTCGAGTCCTCAGTACCACATAAACAGAGAAGGCTGGAAGTGGCAATGTGGCTCAAGTGGTAGAGTGCTAGCCTTGAGCAAAAGAAGCTCAGTGACAGTGCCCTGAGTTCAAACCCCAGGATTGGAAAAAATAAAAAAGAGATGTCTTGTTTACACATTTCCTGAAGTCATATCACTTCTTATAATAACCCACAGGAATAGAAAGGTTCAGGCTATTTTAGCTGAACTGTGAAAGATTATTCTAACTTCAAAACTCCTGTGGGTTAGTCAAAGCTGTCTTGGGAATGCCTTCAACATTCTCTCTCTCTCTCTCTCTCTCTCTCTCTCTCTCTTTTTCTCTCTCTCTGTCTCTGTCTCTCTGTCTCTGTCTCTGTCTGTCTCTGTCTCTGTCTGTCTCTGTCTCTGTCTGTCTCTGTCTCTGTCTCTCTGTCTCTGTCTCTGTGTCTTGCTCTCTCCTCTATTTCTTTCTCTCACCTTCTAGTAATTCCAGCATACCAACAAATAAACATGCTGTATGTTAGACTTCATCTGATTCTTAGAGAACTCAACCTGGATCATGATCTGATCCAAGTGTCTCCAGTCATTACTAGCTATTAACATGTTACTGATTTTTATCATATGGATTATACAATATCATGTTCAACCTGTTCCTACTAAATAGTCCCTTTCAAAGGTTTGTGGTAGACAGAACTATTTATAAGTGTAGAGACTGTGAGTAAAGTTCTTGCCATAATTGAATAACAGCAGCTACTGCTTAACTGCCACCGAATAACAAGAGCCTACTGCTTTTCTTGATGTGATGTAACATTCTGGTCTATAATGAGTCTATTGTTTTCCAGTGAGGAGAAAATCATCCATCTTAGCCTTGTAAAGGATGGCTCAGGGCCTGGCCCATTGACTTGAGGAAGGCAAGGCATCTCCACTTTATAAACAATAAAAGCACCTAACATTTAAACCCTCAGGGACAGGAGTTGTTGTAAGATCTGTGAGTTTACTGACTCCCTGAGTCCTCACAGTAACCTTAACGGAAGAATTATTTTAATTTTCATATTAGACATGGAAAAACCTGAAAGATCAAATAATTTGTACAAATCACTTGGTAAGTTAATGTCCTTGGGTTGAATACAAGTCTCTTTCTCATTCCAGACCTTGTGCTCTACATTGCTTCTCTAAAAAGCACCTGAAGTCTGAGGCTCAGGAAATGTCCCAGGATGCAGAGTGGTAACTGATGAAATGGGGGAAGGGTGCACACAAGGAAAGTGAATCCATGGCTTTCCCAGACTAGTTCTACTCTAGTGTGAGTGTTGATGCTTCTAATCAATGTAATGGGTCAGAAAAAACATTCAAAATAAGGAAAGAAACAGACAGGGGAAGAAGTAGGGAGTAGGAAAGTAGAAGAAGGAAAGAAGAAAAAAATTATATTGCACCCTGCAGTTAGAATGGTATTCTTTTATGAAACACTTGTTCCATTACATATGTACATTCTGTGTTATTGTGGAAAAAATGTCTTCATTACTGTAGGTATAAAAGCTGATATTTTACGCAAATTCAATAGTCATCAAAAAACAAAAAATACAATACTGCATTTTAGGAGGGAAGAAGTATAGAAACAACCTGAATGCTTATCAATAGAGAATGGTGGAGTAAATTGCTGTATATCTATACTACATCTATTAAATAATGCCTTAGATCTTCACATATTAAACTAGGAACTTCCCATGCAAGCCACACTGGAGATAAATGCATGGGGTATGATCATACTTTTATGTAATAATGACATCTCCAACATAGAACTGGGTGAAATGGAAAACGAAAATACAAAGCAATGAGAAGACGTGTTTCTATCACACGGTACCCCATAAATGGATACAACTAAAAGAAATATTCATTTTAAAATCAAATAAATGGATGTACGTCAATGATCTCTGTCCCTGCCAGGGCAACACTGAAAGCTCACCCTCCCTTGTAGGCACCTCTAGCCTCTCATCCTTTTCTAGCCACAGCAATTCCTCTTGCTTCTGTTAAAGAACCATGCTGTCCTGTGTCCCAGACAGCTCTGTTAGCAATGCCTTTTCTATACCAGGTCACTTTCCTACTTTGCTAACTCTTAGTACTCCACTGAGATGTCAAGTGTCACCTCCCCAAGAGTACTTCTTATTCCTCTGATTCAGAAGCAGCTTTTTCATCATTTCACGGTATCTCAATATCTTCTCTATCAAGCCACACTCCAAATCATTAGTGCACTGCTGTATCTTCATCAGCAGTGGTTCTCTCAATAGTAGCCTTGATATCCTTTATCTTTGGACACCAACACCAAGCAGAAGATCTACTCAGGATATTTAATTTTGACTTATCTGAAGATTAAATCTATGAATGAACAAGGTAAATTGACTGACCTGAAGTTATTATGCTAAATAAGCAGCAGAGCCAGAATTCAGCCCTACCGCTGTTCAACTGCACAAAGGCCACCATGGTCTCCCAGCCATCTGCTAGTGCTAAGGCTGTCCGCTACACTCCTGCATGCCTGAGAAACTTCCCAGAGGCATCAGACAATCTCTGGCCAAAATGAGTTGGTCAGCAGAGACTAGGAGGAATAAACGCCTCCTTTCTGGGAGTATCAACCACATGACATTTACTTTATCAAGGGACTTTCCCAAGAAAATCAATTTCTGGAGCATGTAAAAACACAAACAAACCACCACCCACCCGCCCACTCCTTAAAGACAATTGGACCAAAGAGATCTTAGAGAATTCCAAGCAATTCCACAATGTTGACAACACCATCTAATCACATAAACTTTATTTTCCCTAAGTAAGCATTTTTCTACTGAATTTTTATTTTAAATTTGGCTCAACCATGAAATGTGTGTGCCTATACTCAATTGTTTCACCCATGGTAAACCTGTGTACACAGCCAGAGATACACTGAGGATTCCTGACACAGGCACAATTCGAGATTTGCTGTTGTAGCTTATGATGATGTTACCGGAATCCCTTGATAACAGTGTTTATATCTATTTATAACTGTAACCTATTATCCTCGTTTCCATATAATTGGATGCGAGTGAGGTTTAAAAAAATTCAGCTGCCTAAGACAAGTCATGCTCTTACAGAACAGATGTTTGCTCAGCATAGAAAGTGAATTAGCTTTTAACAGGAATATTCAGAAATATATACACACTCTTCTCCCAAGCGTATGAGTATTTTATATTGAAAATAATTTAAAGACACAGGGTGTTAAATACAGGGGACATAGTCACAACTGTTTTTTTAAAGTAGGTATTAAATAAATTAATAAAAATAAGTAGTTTACCTCTTTAAGGTACGATGGTGACACATATTCAGGCATTGGATTCAGTCTCCAGTTCAGGGCAGAGAAAAACGCTTCATAATTTATTTGTTTTTCACTATCTTCAAACCTGAAATTACATGGTTTGACTTAATGTGTAAAATTCATGAGCAAAACACCAGCCTAAATTTTACCTTAAAAGTATATTATCACCAGGTGCCAGTGGCTCATGCCTGTAATCCTAGCTACTCAGGAGACTGAGATCTGAGGATCACAGTCCAAAGCCAGCCCAGGCAGAAAACTCCATGAGACTCTTATCTCCAGTAAACCAGTCAGAAAGCTGGAAGTAATGTTGTGGTTCAAGTGGTAGAGCACTTGCCCTGAGCTGAAGAACTGAGGGACAGCTCCCAGGCCCAGAGTTCAAGCCCCATGACCGACAAAAAAAAGAAAGTATATTATCATCAATGCTTTAATATCTGATTTTTATTAGTTATCTACTTCAGATTGCCCAGAATACAAATTATTGGAGAGTGAGGATCTAATTTACCGAATCCACGAGAGTAGGCCCAATCTCTAGCAATTGGTATATATTCAATAAATATTTGTTGCATTTGCTGTAGAGCCAACTTTGCTAATTTATTAAGACAGCACTGTATTTTGTTAAGAATATTTAAGGACTGTTAAGTTTAGTGGTTGAAATATGTCAGTAAAATAGAATGTCCTTATATTCCTTAAATTGCATACTTCTTAAATCTTTAAGATAAGTTTTGATTAACTTTAAGAAAAAGAAAAGCACATTGTCATTTATTACATAGTCATTAAATATGGATTATTTGCATACATATCTTTGCTGTCATGGAAATATGTTGTTGATGTATTACAGAATGGAAAGTGAGTTATAAAATAATATCTACAGATAGATAAACAGCACAGATTTTAAAAACCTGATAATACCCTTATATAATAAGAAGACCTTTTTCTGAAAAGAGAAATGATTTTTGACTTTTTCTTTAGACCTCTCTGTATCATATGATTTATTTTAAATTTATAATAAAAAGCCAGTTTTCATTCTGAAAAAATTAACAAATTATTATCCTGTACCACAAGAGGTGAAAACAGAGTATTTTTGGCTATTGATTTTTATTTAAGGACATTGGATTGATCTTTAACCAAAATAGAGTTTTAGCTACTAAAATACAATGATTTCAGCACAAATTTTTATGGTGGTCTAAATAATGTCCAAGAATTTCTTAATGTAATATCTCAGTGCTATGTGTTTTAAATTTGATTATATTCATGCATCAGTGGTACTCACTAAGCACTGTGCTGAAAATGAACTATACAATTTATGGGTGAGAATGGGAGAGAAAAAAACTCAGAGAGAGCAAGGGAAGGGTGACATTGTCCAAAAAGGAATGTGTTCTTTACCTGACTTAATGTAACTGTAACCCCTCTGTACATCACCTTTATAATAACAATTTTAAAACACATGAAAAAGGGTGACATGCAGGAAGGATGGACAACAAAGAATTTGATAACATTCTACCAATTATTTAAGAAAAATTATCTACTGATTATATGTAATACCACTTTTTGAAGGAAATGACAAAAGTAGTTATTAAGACATTGTTCCAAGCCCCTTGCTCTGGGCCTTTGCCATTAAAATAACATGTCCATAATCAGTCAGATATTTTTTTCTAATCTCTTCACAAAGGATTGAAAAAATAAGTCATTATTTACAAACCAATAAAAATTAGCAGCAACAAATTAAATCCTTCAAGCTGAAGTCACATAGCCTCATCAATGTAAACAAAGTAGAATTAAACTGGGACTGAAGAGAGAAAAGGGAATTCTGTAACTCTTCTGTGTACATTTTCTTTGGCCAAGGATTTTTAGATACAACTCTTAACATGCTACCCCCTACCACTGTTTACTCTATGAATTTTGGCTACACTCATTATTTCAATTCCTTTGGAGGAAATGTTCTGTTTAAGGAAATACTTGTAGCCAAAATGCTTGACCATTATTACTTTTATTTGTGTATGTTTCACAAACTAAAACTCAATTAAGTATGCCTTGTGAGAAGCTTCTCTAGCAGGTCCTTAAAGAAATCATTTCCTATTCCTCTGAGTAGGAACTGAGATGAAGGAGATTCTGTACTGTCTTTGACTTTGACTCTAAAGAAAACTAAGTCACGACGTACTATCAGAAAAGTTATAGGACTATCACTGTTCTATAAGATTGTACCTCAAGTTCATATGCTGAAGTCTGATCATGGATGTGTCATTATTAGAGTGGAAGCTCTGGAAGAGCTATTTAGGTCACTATGGTCAGATCCCTCATGATTGAGATTCATGTCCTATAGCCAGATATTGTAGTACCTGACTATAATCTGAGTACTTGGGAGGCAGTGGCAGGAGTATTTAGAATCTGAAGCCAGCCTGAACTACAGAGAAAGATCCTGTTTAAAAAAATACCCTTGTGTTAGTGGCTCGACTATAATCCTAGCTACTCAGGAGGCTGAGATCTGAGGATCATGGTTTGAAGCCAGCCCTATTAGGCAAATTAGATATTCTTATTTCCAATTAAACAGCAAAAAGCCAGAAGAGGATGAGTGGCTCAAGTGGTAGAGTGGCAGCCACGAGCAAAAAAGCTAAACAAAGCAAAAGGCCCGGAGTTCAAGCCTCAGTCCTAACACATACATACAAATAATAAATCCAAAAACAAATAAAGGAATAAAATGGGTAAAAGAAGCCTTAGAGAATCTCTTGCCTATGCTCCCATGTGGAAACACACTAAGAAGGATATTAGGTATTAGACTTCACCATCTACCATGATCTTAGACTTTTCAACCTCCAGAATTCATAGTATACTGTTACAGCAGCTTGAGCAGACTAAAACAGGCTTTAATATATTGTTAAGATTAATCTAAACTGGTATATTGAAAGTAGAATAGAGGAGCCAAGACAGAAGTGGCAGGGGCAGCTAGCAGTTCCTTGCAGTAACCTAAATGAGGAATAATGATGGATTCGATGAGGGTGGTAAGAAGTGATCAGTGCTGAATGCATTTTCAATGGAATTCCTATAATATATGATATTGTCTGTAAGGAAAAAAGGGAATATTGAAGATGACTTGAGGCTTCTTATTGAGCAATTAGGAAGAAGAAACTGACCTGAGATGAGAAAAACTGTAGAACTTGTAGGTTGTGTGGCAAGTCCCAGAATTTAGTTTTAGATTTTTACATTTTTTGGTCAGTCCTGGGGCTTGAACTCATGGCCAGTGTTCTGTCCCTGGGCCTCTCTGTGCTCAAGGCTAGCATTCTACCACTTGAGCCACATCACTGCTTCTGGCTTTTTCTGAGTAGTTTATTGGAGAAAAGAGTCTCACAGATTTTCCTGCTGGGATGGTTTTGAACCACAATCATCAGATCTGAGCCTCTTGAGTAGCTAGGATTATAGGTGTGAGTAACCAGTGCTTAGCTAGATTTGTTATATTTTAATGAGAAATTGAGGCTATGCGTCTAAAGTTCAAGAGAGAGGTCCATTTGGAGATTAAGTGTGGGACCCATTTGCTGCATAGATATTATCTGTAGGTGCCAGACTGGGAAACTGGATGGGATCACCAATGAAATACTTGTCTCAGTTCTTACAGTATAGAATGTAATTCTCCTAGGGTTCAGAATTAAGTATTTCAGTACTGTTAGAACCAGTCAATTGAGTATAAAAGATCAATTTCCCCTTCATACATTGTCCACTAAATGGTCCTGGGGACTACTTACTATCACTGTATATTATAAACCTATCTACTACTCTCCATTTTTTACTATTCCCTACTCCCAAACCAATATCATCTGGATTCTAGCAGTAGCTCTATATATTGGTCTTCCTTCTTCTATGTACTTTCAGGTTGCAACAAACCACCCTCCACTAGAGTGATCCTTTTAAAATATAGATCTGTTTAATTACTTCCTTGTTCAAAATCTTCCTGTGCCTTTCTTACTTAGAATACAAGCTAAACTACTTATTACCAGGGTTTAAAGACCCAACTTAGTCTGGCTCCTTCCTACTTACCGATCCTGCTTACCTCACCTCAAAACTCTCTCCTTGCCACAATACTCCAAATCTACTGAGGGTCTGCTCATGTCTAGATTGTTCCTAGATATGCAAGGCATTTGAACTTTCTGTCTTGTTATCTATAAAGTCTCAATTCAAATGTAGTTTCCTTAAGAAGGTCTTCCTTAAATTTCTCTGTTCTGAGTCCCATTACCGGAATTAGTATTTTCTCTAGATGAAAGCATTGTAACTCATAGGAAAATGTATGCATTATCCTGCCCATGTAATTGTAACCCCTCTGTACAGTATGTTCTCAAATAAAATAAAATAAAATTAAAAAAAAATTTCCAGAAGTCACCATAAGCAGTCCTATTTGATTTTGTTACCACTAACTCTGATACTTGGCCATGTTCCCTGTTATCTTCTAAACCCCAAGCTCTCTTCTCATACCAGTTCATGATTCATCACATGCAACATTTTTATTTGCCCATTTAGAAGGTATTTGGGAAAGATGGTCTAAATCAAATAATACTTGATAAGGGATCAATAGCTGTAAATGAAAGTGTACATAGCTCTAAAATATATAAATTCTTTTTAGAACAAATGAAATATTTCATCTTTCCCAAATCCCAGAACCAGACTAACAGGAAGACTTTGCTAATATAATAAAATACTCCAAGATTTTCTTTTCAGTTCTCTCTTAGAAGACCTCAGTGTATGTAAATAGGTACTGTACTCCCTCCCCCATTCACCCAAGGGGAGCAGAGGAGAAAAGAACAAACACATCTTTTAATTAAAAGGGAAAAACTAGCTGATGCTTCCTGGAAGAATTCTTTGCTTTTGAGAAGTGGACAGAACTGCAGTAAATTATGATAGATGGACCACAAATATTTCTCTCACCTACAAAAGAATAAAGAACGATGCACACAATGACAAAGATAACTGAAGAAAAGACTTCATTGGAAAAGGAAGTTTAAAATGTTTTGCAGTATGAAAAGCATTGGTGATGAACTTAGCAGAACCAAGGAAAGGAATGAACCATCAACATGGTCCATAAAACTCCTAAGAGACTCAGCA